ATTGAGGGGGATGACGCAATCGACATTCAAGATATGAATTTCTTGTATGCTTATTACAGGCGTCGGGATAAAACATTAGTCTCATCGGTGCAGGAGGGCACAGTCGTGGATACTTCCGCCGTTGTGGCTTCAGAAATCACCAACCAAAGGAGGGCACGGTGCTACGAGCTTAATTCACGGAAGTACATTGAACGTGTAGTTTTGGCACAGAGGTCACAGCAGAAAATAGCACTTTTGTGGCTTCTTGCAGAATCTATGCGGCACGCCTGGAAACTTTATTTTCGTTTAGCTCAGCTCTATGTGAACTACGTGCCTTTGTACCTACAGGCGGCTGGGGTTACCATGGGGAATGAGGATGACAACGATCTGATGGATATTACCAAAAACAGGTATTACGCCTATTTTTCTTCTGGTACTTTTGACTACGAGTACTACACATATGAGTTTATCCATAAGTGGGAGACTCTTTTTGGGAATGTTCAGAATTATCTTTTTGATGGAGGTACTGGATCGGTGGGGAGTGTTGGCTTTGCTGCCACGCTTCTGCACTCTATGGAGCTCTTTGAGCGGCAACATGAGTTGCAGGTGGGAGTGCGGGAGGTGGAACAGTGGCTGCATTTATGTTGGAAGCGCATGAATACAGCCGCCGTGCTCATGTCATCCCCCATTCCCACAGTCACCGCCACCAACACGATGACAATGACTAGTAGTAGCAGTATTAGTGATTCTGGTACTCCGGATACGGCTGCCGGCTTGCAGCATGACGATACCGCCAATGGAGATGAGACTATCGAGCACAACAGAAAGGAATGCGAGCAGCAACTAGTTCTCACAAATCCTGTAGACGCCACACTCACGTCGGTCAACATGAGGAGGGATGCGATGACGCATGTTCCTATCGACTGGTGGGGCGCGCAGGACGCGGATGTTCGGGCTCATGTCAGTTGGAATCGAAAGAAACGGAAGTTGCTTCAAATTTGCCTCGGAAGGGCGGCGCTACGTCAGACGGTGCCAGCGGAGGGTCCAGACAACATCGCCAGCAGCCCGAAGGGCACTTCACCGCAGCTGCAGGCATGGATGCCGGGGGCGCTCGAACCCATTATGGAGGACAACGGCGATGAGGAGGCGCAGCCATACCGCGTTGTCAACGTTGGATGCTTCGGCTTCTCGTTCTTTTCACGATGGGATTAAATGCGACACGGTCCGATCCTCGTGTGACTTCACTTCTACAGCAAAGAAGGATTAATATATATATATGTATTCATGTGTGTATGTATGGGCCACTGCTGTTGGCAGCCGTTTACATACACCCACATGTAGGGAAGAGGGGAAATAAAAAAAAAAAAAAAAAAAGAGACGCAAATGAATAAATAAATGTTTTTTTTTTTAAACGGAAAACAGTCGAGAAGGTGTGGTGTTTGTGGTGAACGGGTACAAAATTTGTACCCGAAATCAACGAATACGTATCAAACCATCCATCGGTTTTTAAAATTCATGATATATAAATATATAAATATACACGCGGAAATACATTCACATTAGACGGATGGATATATGAATATATAAATATATGTTACCTCGTTTTTTTTATATATTTGTATCTCTCTTTCTCTCTCTTTCTTTCTCTCTTACTCTCTTTCTCTGTGTGTGTGTGTGTGCATACATATGGATTTACACACATGTATGCATATATTTATATTTATATTTATATTTATATTTATGAATGGATGGATGTGACTGAGATGTGTTTGGGGGAAAACGAAGATTTGTTCATTTTTTTTTTTTTTTTACTTTTATTATTTTTATTATTTATGACGACGACGACTGCGCTTTATTGTCTTTGTTAATTTTGTTACTGTCATTGCCCTTCATTTTTGTTGCTAAGAAGATGAGGAGGGAATGAAGAGGAACGAACGAGAAGGAAAACCAAAAACCAAAAACCAAAAAACAAAAAAAAAACCGTTGAATTTAGGAATAAAAATGTCACACGTACTTTTTTTTTTCTTTGGGGTTGTTGTTGTTGTTGTTGTTTTCAGTGGTAATGTGAAGGACACATATGCGAGGGGGGAATACAAGCATGCATGCACATGCCACATGCACCCACAAGTACATGGGCGTGCTCTCTATAAATGGAGAGGGGGTCATTGCGTGCATGTGGGAAGAGGGAGATCGTCAGTGACGGTGTAAACAGGACAAACAAACAGAACAATTGCCACAAATATCTTTTTATTTTTATTTTTTATTTTTTTTGCTTTTGGATAGGCGCAATGGATTTTTTTTTTAAAAATATTTTGAAGATGGAAGCACGTGCATAAAAGTAAATAAATGTCTGTCTTTATTTCCTTCTTTACTCCTTCTCGATGTGTTTATTTGGGCACTAAAGAGAAGGAGGGAGGGGGGAGTTTATGTCAAACAGAGGCATGCAGACTGCAGGTGGCAAGTAGCTACAGAAGGGAGTGAAACAACAACATTTTATTTGAAAATAAAACAATAATAATAATTAAAAAAAAGGAAAACAATGAATAATAACGAAGCGAGTTGTGTAGGATGACAACAGAACAGAGAGGGGCAAAAAAGAAGACAAAAAAACAACAACAAAAGGAGGAGGAGGAAGGAGAGGATATATATAAATATATATATTTTATTGTTTTCTTATGGAGATCCAAGGGCGTTTTGTTGCGATGAATCCGGTCAATCTTTTTTTTTTTTTTTCTCTTTTGTTGTTGCTTCCCCCTTTTGTTATTTATATTTATGCGTGTAATTGTGTTTGCATTCAGTGGTTGGGTTTTGCTGTTGGTTTCTTGTGGGATGATAGAGCCCATTGTGTGTGTTTGTGCGTGTGTGTGTGTGCCTCCCCTTTGGTTATCTTTTTTTTTTTTTTTCTTTATTGTTGTTTGTTTGTTTGTTTTGGTGAGAGGATAATCCTCAAATACACACCGCACGTTGGTGATGATGGGAGGGTTATGCGTGCTGCTCCAGCCACCAGGATGCATGTGAAGGCGGATACACACACACACACACACAGAGAGAGGGAGAGAGGGAGATATGGAGGGAATTGTGCATGTATACTTTCTTTATGAATGAAGGAAAGGCACACCGCATGAACCTCACCGCATTTTCACACATCCAGTTGCTTTCTTTTTTCTTTTTTTGGATGTGGGTGGGTGGGTGGGTGGATAGATAAGGGTGTCGGTGTACTTCCTGCGCTGTGGATGTGATTTATTCCCGACTGTTGTATTTTTACACCCCGCCATGTTCTTTTTTTTTGTATTTTTTTATGTTTTTTTTTGCATAAATGAATCGGGACTCCGTTGCGGAGGGAACATTTCGCCTTTCCAACCATCCGCGCTATCGTCTCTGTCGTAGTCAAATGCCGCGGCCCAATTTGTGTATTACGATGTTCGGTATGCCTCTCTCCCCCTTTCCCTCTCTCTCTCTCTCTGCGTGTGTGTGTGTGTCCGACGGGTGGTGGATAGTTTGTCTGTTGCTGCTGCGCAGCGCGGGGGATTTCAAAGTATATGTTTTTTTTATTGTTTAGTGCTTCCCCTTCCCCACTTCCCTAATTTTTTATGCACGTCGATGCGCTCTTTGTTTGTGTCGGCAGCGGCACGACGGTGCATTTCACGGAGTGGCAGGGTCCACGCACTTCCATTGCCACACTTTTTTCTGCAAGGGGGTGTTGTGGGCGCTGTGGCTTTTGGCGTGGCTCTACAGACCCGGCTGGGTAGTTTTTGTGGAGGGTCCTTTTATGCTTTTTTATTTTTTGCACCTTTTTTTTTTTGGCGCCAGTCACACACGGCGTCCCTGAAAAGAACAGAGGCAAAAGGGAAGGTTATAAAGACAGGGGAGACACGTCAGGAGGGCGGCGGTGTTGCAGCTCTGCCCGCTCGTGCTGATACGAGGTGGGAGGAGAAGGAACGGCCACAGGAACAGTTTTTCTTTCCGTGCGTACACTGCGGGGAGGCGTAGAAATTCATCGGCATCTACGGGGATGTACGAGGAGATGACCAGCACGGAGACGGCTACGGCCACGTGCGACGAGAGCACCGGAACGGAGTTGAACGAAGAGTTGGAGTTTGTGTTCAAAGTTGTCGTAGTGGGCGACTATGGCGTGGGCAAAACGTCACTTGTAAAGCGACTTCTCAGTGTGCCCTACACACAGCGGGGGGATGACGCGGCCGTAACGCTGGCGGAGGAGTCTCCCGCTGCGAGTGACCCCTGCCGGTCTGTGACGCCGACAGTCGGCACTGATTTTTTCTCACGTGTGGTGCGAAATGTGCGTGGTGGTCAACATGTGCGGCTGCAGTTTTGGGACACGGCGGGGCTGGAGCGGTACGCCGCGGTACATGCCACAACACACCGCAACGCATCTGCCGTGATGGCCGTATTTGACGTGAGCGATCGACGCAGCCTGGACTCGCTGCTCTCGACGCACCTGAGCACGGCCGCTCGCCACAACCCGGAATTGGACCAGCGGAGTGTGATTGTGGTCGGGAACAAAACGGACCTCCTGTTGACATCGAAGGAGAAGGAATTATCAAGCCATAAGCCGGAGTTTGTGACGCAGCGTGATGTCCAATTGGGACTCTTGGACGCACTTCCGGATATCGTCTACCACGAGGCGAGTGCCGTCACAAATATTGGCGTGAGTGGCCTGCTGCATTCCTTATGCCAGGCTCTGCTTAAAGTGCATGGCGGGGAGGAAATCGAAGAGCTGCAGCCTGCGACAGGGGAAGCGGGAACACAGCTGCAATACTCCGTGCTTCCCAAAGGGCATAGCACCACTTCTGCTGTTGATACGACAGCCGCGGCATCCTTCGCGGGGACGGAAGTGTCACCAACGAAAGCGGGCCATTCTACGAGCGAAGGCAATGACAGCAACGCCGCCCACAACAAGGACGCAAAGGATCCTCATGTCACTGAGAAACATGCCGACCCCTATGACATGCCTTTTTCCAAAAGTTTAAAGGCGTGTGAGGTGGCAGTCAATCCCTCCGTTCGTGAGTGTGCCGCGGCTTTAGAGGAGAACTCATTGGAAGATAAAAACCGGTATGATAGCCACACGAGTTCCATTTATGATGAAGAGCCCGCGTCACCGCCCCTGGTGTCTCACACCCTCTTACGAGGACCCCGTCAATTAGGTCCTCTGTCGGCTCAAAGGGAAGGAAATAATTCCAATTTACTGTTACATAGCAACAAGGACGAGGATGAGTGTCGGAGAACGACGGAGTACAGCAGCGCTGATTCGGGTGACTTTCAGCGGGAAATTGAAGATCGATTTAAACGTGCAGAAGACACCGCAAGAAGAACCGCTGCAGAGTCACGGAACTCTCAGCAGCAGAAGAGCAAAAAAGCGTCCAAGGTGAATTTATCGCGGTGTTATGGTGGTGACCGTCGTGCTGGCAGCGGTGGCGATGGATCGGCCGGTAGAAAATCAAGGGGATGCAAGTGCTAGACTTTTTTAAAGGTCAATGGCAAATGGCTTATTTTGCCTTTTTATTTTTATTTCTTTGTTGCACCTTTTTTTTTTTTCCTCCTTTTGCTTAAAAAAAAAAAATTTCCGTATGATCGTACCGTCATGTGCACCCCAGGGATATAAATTTGCCAGTGGCGGGTGTGCAAAAAACCTTCCATGAAAACTGGCGGGGTTTACGCATATCCTTCGCCCTTTGGATAAAAATACGATGCGTGTGAAAGAGCGAGGGATGTGCAGGTGATTTTAATGACGGGTGAATTTTTTTAAGAAAGGCATTTCTTTGCTTTTTTTTTGTTTTTACCGTTTTTTTTTCTTTTTTCCCTTTTTTTTTCAACGTTGTGCATGTATGGCAGGTGGGTGGGGATTAGGCGTCTGTCTGTCTGCCTGTTTGTCTGCGTTTCTCCGGGCTGCCGTTGATGCAGTAGGGATTGTGGGCGATTTTGGGAAGCGTGAGGATACAACTCCTCCTTTTTGGGTCCCTGCAGCGGTTTGGGAGATGCGGTGCAGCAACAACATGAGCGGTGATGAAATAAATGCAGAATGCGTTGGAGGATATGAGTGCCGCGTGTGACGGCTTTGCATCTCTGAGTTGTGGCAACAAAAAGCGCCATGATGGTGATGATGCGGCGTTTTGTGAGGGGTGATTGGATGCGAGGGCTGCAGGACAGACCGTCGTTTCTTTGTTACGGCTGATTTGTCTACTAGGATGTGCGGAAGTCTGCGAATAAATCTGGTTTAATGGTCTAAAAGGGGGCGGGCGTCCTGCGTGCGACAGCAGGAATGTTCACCGAAGCCATTGACAATAACCGCTTTGCATTGTGCAGAGGGAGGAGAGTACATGCGGCAAGCAAGATTTAAGAGTTTGGCTAAAAGGCAGAAAATATACACACACACACACAAAAAGGGGTGGGACTCCGCGAGAAGACGATAGAGATATGTGGGGGAGGGCGTCAACTGTCCATAATATCCTCAGTCCACCCGGCTTTTGTTCCCGAAGCAATCACAGCAGCCGTGGAGGACATGACTGCTCCTTTCCAAATGACATCTTCCATGGGTGCGGGATTTTTCTGCCTGGGCCGCAGAAGAGGCGGTAGACTTGGCACATCCATCCTGAATTCATTTGAATAATTTTGGCGATTCGATGGAAATGACAATATATGCATGACAAGAGTTGCGGCACGAAGGGTTTTTAGGGTTTAATGATTTCCCCCTTCTTTTTTTTTTTTTTTTGCTCTTTGAGCACGTGCCGTTTTGCGTTTTCACGTGTCTTTCGACGAGTGCGTTGCCTTGGCATACTCCTGGGATGGATGTCTCTCCGAGTGTGACATGCGCCTTTTTAATGAACATTTTTTCTCTACAAGCGCATCGTGTCTTTGGCAATGAATTGACTGTCAACGGGACGGAGGACGGTGTTGAGGGTGAGATTAGCTGCGTGTAACATTGATCTTGTGCGCAGGGAGCAGGAAGCGGCAAGCGGCCTTCTTGGCATTGTGATTCCTGCCGTGTGGCGGGCCCAAGTTTTGGGTGGCCCTATGCAACGTACGGCCTATTTCTGGAAAAGGAGAAAATACATTGTATTTCTAACAGAAAGGCGTAACAGCAGTAGCAGCAGCAGCGGCGTATTTTTGGGTTTCTCCGTCTTTGAGTGGGTGTTGTTGCGTTTTTCACGCGAATCTGTTAATATATATATATTAGGGATAATTAAGTCATATGGGCATTTTTATTTGTTTTTATTTTTATTTCCATGCGTTTTGAGTGGGAGGGGATTTGGAAAGTTGAGGGCCGTGCATTCGGTGTGAGAGTGACTTTTGGCGGTCTTTTCAAATGTCTTTTGTTCCCACTTCTTTGTGTATGAAGACATGCATTGCGCTGTTTGGCGGGGCTGCTGGGCTTCTTGATGGAACGACAATAATAAACAAAAAAATGATACGAGATGATGGCGACAAAAGTGTGTGTGTGTTGTCGGAAACTACCGAACTCTTGCCAGTCTTTTTATTACTTTTTAATTCTCCCTTCATTCACACACACACACACACACACATACACATATTGAGAGAAGTGTTTAAGGGGGGTATTTTGTGGCGCGGCGATTTCATGTTTTCCAGGCGACTTGACATGTGCCGTCGGTCGGGCATGCGTCTGTTTCCGCGCGGATGCCAGCAGGAGTCTTGGCGTCTTTTTCCTGCACTGCCACCAGGCACAGCGGTATCACAGCGAGGCTTTGGGGGCCCGGCGATGATACCGCAGAGCAATAGGAGGGAGAGGAGACGCATCGACCGCCTTCTCTTTTCCCAACAGGGCGTGCGGAAGATGCTGGCACTTTTTCCGTCATTGAGGAATATGGCGGGGTGCTGGAGGAATTTACGCTTGACACGTGATGGGGGCGCAGCTACCGTTCCACACGTTCTCCGCTCTGCGCAGCCGGGTGGCAAAGGGCCTACGGCTGGGGACGGCAAAAATGATTCCGAGGGAGAGTCCGATGACTCCGCCGCCACAGCAGAGGATAATGGCAACGAAGATTCATTGGTGGAGCGCTCCGTTCTGTTTGTGCTTTTCATGTTCCTGCTTTCGTATGTGCTCTACCGACTTGCACAACCGTCAGGGAAGCCTACAGGATGGGCCTCACTTATGAAGCACGCGGACATTATTGAGAGCATTCATCTCTACCAAAACTATGCGCAGGTTTATATGGAAGAGGCGAAAGTTTACCTGGGCCTGGTGGATGACCAGCACACGCAGGAGAAGCTTGAGATGCTGCGTGCGGCATGTATCACCGCCAAGGTGAATAAGCAGCAGTCGAAGAAGGAGCCGAATGATGGCACGAACTCTGCCGGTTTTGATGTTGTTATGAAAGGAACACCACTAGCGGAGCACGTTCTTGTGGGATTGGGCGTCTTTGCGTGGGTGATTCCGTTTGTATTTTTTCCCGTTTTTGTCATGATTCTTTCCAACTCGATTGGAAAGTCGCTTGCGGCCACCGTGGATGCAGGGAAGAAGTCACAGAAAGTGAAGGACATGGTGTTTCGTGTGGAGCGTACATCCAACACACGGTTTCACGACATTGCGGGAATGAAGGAGCCAAAGAAAGAGATTACGGAGGTGGTTGATTTTTCTGCGACAGCCTGAGCGCTACACGGCGCTGGGCGCGAAGATACCGACAGGTGCTCTCCTGCTTGGCCCACCAGGCACGGGAAAAACCCTCTTGGCCAAGGCGGTGGCAGGGGAGAGCGGGGTGGGTTTTATTCCTGTCTGTGGCTCGGACTTTGTCGAACTTTATGTTGGCATGGGCGCGCTGCGTGTGCGGCAGCTCTTTGAGACGGCGAAGAAACAGCGCTGTATTGTTTACATTGACGAGATTGACGCCATCGGCCTCAAACGAAGTGGGGCGGGTCACGGCGAGAAGCAGGAGCAGGAGCACACGCTGAATGAGCTCCTTACCCAACTGGACGGCTTCAGTTCGGGAAAACGAGGTGATGTAATGATTCTCGCTTCCAGTAATGTGGCGCAAGAGATGCTGGATCCTGCACTGATCCGTCCTGGCAGGTTTGATCGCATTATTCATGTCGACATGCCTGTCATCTCGGAGAGGATTGATATTTTCAAGGTGCACCTTAGCGCTCTGCGGCTCTTGAAGGAGACGGGTGATCCCGCGGGGACTGACGCGGTGGATTCATCGGCTGACGCCGCCACGACGACAGCTGGCCGAGAAGACAGCGCTGAAAATCCTGCAACGCAAGTGAAGGGAGGCACCGCAATGGACGACACGGCTGTGGGTGCGGGGGACGATCCCAACGCATCCACGACGGTAAATGACTCTTCCAGCAGCACGGCCTCCCCGTCGTCATCGACAGCGACTGCGGCTGCAACTCCAAATGTTAAAGAATCGGCGCTCACCATCAGTCGGCTGCAGCAGGAGCTGGACGAGGAGAGGCAAAGTCTAAAGGAAGAAGAGGGCCTTTCGGGTCATGCCTCGTTTGACTTCCGTTCCCTCTTGGCAAAGAAGAGCGAGAGGGAACGCGCGCTCATTAGCACCTATGCGGAACGTTTGAGTAGTCTCTGTCCCGGCTTTGTTGGCGCCGACATCGCCAACGTATGCAACGAGGGGGCGATTCTTGCTGCTCGCGAGGCGTGCGAGTTTGTTGACATCTCTCATCTTGAGCGTTCCATTGATCGTGTGCTCGCCGGCATTGAGCACCGCAGCCGCGTGCTGACACCATTCGAGCGGGAGGTCGTCGCCCACCACGAGGCGGGGCATGCGGTGGCGGGATGGTTCCTTAACCGAGCAGAACCGCTCATGAAGGTTTCTATAGTTCCACGCGGCGGCTCCGCCCTCGGCTATGCGCAGTACCTGCCGAACGAAAATCGCATGCGCACGGCGACGGAGGTTCGCGACTCCATCAGCGTGACGCTTGGCGGTCGTGTGGCGGAGAAGATATTTTTCAACCATTTGTCAACAGGTGCCTCCGACGATCTGCGAAAAGTGACGCACATGGCGTACCAATACGTGAGCTCCTTTGCGCAGCGGCCGGTGTATCCTGCGCCCGGCACACACGGCACACGTTTTGTGAAGCCGTTTGGCCCAAAGGTCTCAAATGAGTTGGACGTGGAGGCCAAGAAGCTTGTGGATGAGGTCTACGAGTCCACGTACAAGCTTTTGCTCTCCAAGAAGACAGAGATGGAGACGCTTGCCAGACATCTGCTGCAGAAGGAGGTGCTCACGTACGATGACGTTGTGGGCTACTTTGGTGTGCGGAGCTCCAGACTCTCGGACCGAAAGAAGAATTCGTAGAAGTGAATTGAGAGTGAGAGAAAGAAAGTGAGTTGGGCCGCAGGAACCTTTTTGCACGGTGGTTCCCTCCCTTTTTTTTTTTTTTTTTTTTTACATCTCTCCGCTAAAATCTGCGCCCTTCCCCCAATGACTGTCAATGGAAATGGAACGAGTAATCTTGAATGCTTTGTGTGCAGACGATCAAATATACAGACATATATATATATACATATATATGTACACACATGGGCGTCTCTGTCCTGCCTGGCGTGCCGCATGACGCCATTGTGGCGATGTTTTCTACCGCAGAGCTGAGGTGGAGGTGGAGAAGGCGGTGAAGAAGAAAAAAGAAAATATATATAAAGAAACCGCAAAGGCGGTTTTGGGGATCCCTCGTCATACCGCACCACGTGCGTGTGGTTGAAAGTGATCCCACAGTGAAATAATAATAAATGAAAAAACAACAACACACACACGCATCAGGAAAGAGCGGGAAAAAAGCGTCTATTTTTGCATAAACGAATGAATTTTCACCCAAGCGGTGAGGATTTGGGGAAATTGGCTGCTTTTCTGTTTTTTTTTTTTTTTTGTCTCCTGCTTTTTTTCCCTTTTTTTTTTTTTTTTTTTTGTGGAGCGAATGTGGAGGTTTGTGCGATGATAAAAATTCGCATCCTCCACCTCAGTGTCCTCTCGGAGGATGCCGGGGACTTCCGGCACGCCGGCCTGTACGTCGTGATGCGTGTGGGCGATGAGGGCCAACGCACGAGTGTCCTCGTAGAGGGCGAGAGAAAGTCGTGGGACGAAGTGTTTCTTTTTCGTCAGCCGCCGTCCCTTCCCGCTGTGGGCGTTGGGATGTCGCTGGGGGCACCTTTCATTGCGAGTGGCCCGATGGCACGTGACACGCCGCACTATTTGTCGTCGTTTCATCATCATCATCATCATCATCCGCTTACCACACATGACAGCATCGCTGCTGGCAGTAGCATGGACGCCATGGCGCTTGCACCCCCGTGGGTTGGCGACCCGTACGGCCTCCCGACGGTTGCACTGGAGCTTTGGCGTCATTCGGCGACCTCCGACGACTGTCTCGCGAAGTATCAATTTTGCCTACCGCACGACAAGTGTGGAGGCGTTTTGGATAGTTGTGTGCGGCTCATGAGTGCATCATCGTACTCTGTGGAGTTTGCCCTTCGGGTTCGTGTGGCCTTGTCGCATTCTGACTCCACCCATGCAATCCGGCGTCCCCCCGCTCAAAATACCATCCCGCTAGAAACGCCTGTTTCATGGGGTCCGTAGGCGTATTTTGGCTGACACGTGTCTTGTAGAAAATGAACGTCAATTAGCATCCCACGGAAGAGGGTGGAGGAAAGAGGGGGCTACTTCGCATTGACTGCAAGTGACTGTGCATAGAGAGCTGTCTTTTCTCTTTTTCTTTTTCTCTTCTCTCTCTCTCTCTCTCTCTCTCTCTCTTTGCGTGTCTGTGTGCTTGGTGTGTTTGGTTGAGCACATCGCAGGGAAGAGAGCAACACGTGTCAGCAAGGCGTAGTGCATCCTATTTATTTGTATACGCATATACATACTCATATAAACATATAAACAAAGAGCGAGATGGGGAAGCTGCAGGTGTGTATTTGTGCAGCCCGTAACTTGCATGACAGCCAAGTCTTTGGCTTACCGGACCCCTACTGCCGAGTACGCATGGGTGACCATGGATACAAGACGAAGGTCATCAATAACTCGCTGAATCCCGTGTGGAACGAGACATTTCGATTTCAGGTTGCCGATGAGTCGACAGCACAGTTGTGCGTTGAATTGTGGAATAAAAACATCATTTCCGACGATCTCATGGGGACATATAGTCTGTCGCTGGGTCACATGACACGAGGCGTGGTGAACGACGAGTGGTACCTGCTGGGACACTCCAAAACAAATTCGGAGCTGCACTTACGTGTCCTCGCGTGTGACTTTGGTATTAACCCATCGCCCAGTGATGTGTGGAAGATCACCACGGACATTAACAATGACCCGGCACTCGGTGCGGGGAAGAAACCCCCGTTGGCCGCCGCCCCTGTGACTATTTCGAGTAACGTGAACAATACGCCGATTAATCCGAACATTGGCCCTGCTGTTGTTCCCGCCGCAGTTTTAATGCAACCACAGTCATTTCCGCAAGCACCTGGCTCTTTTCCACAGCAGCCTATGTATTTTTCACCGCCACCGGCCCCAGTTGGGTATTACCCGCAACAACCAATGTACTACCCACCACAGCCGCCAGGGATGCAGCAGGAGCAACTGCACTCACAGTTTGAAGCCCCTTACACTGGCGTTCTGCCTTTACAGATGGTTTCCATGATGAACCCAAAAGATCACAACTTCCATTATTGAGGAAGAATAATGAAAAAAGGAGAGTTAACATGAAGCAAATGATAAAAAAAATGATGCATGTTGGTGTGTTTTTGTATATCCGTGGTTTTTATACACACAAATATTGACTTACCATGCATCAGTCTACAGTGAAGATGGAGTGAATCGGATATGTGTGTTTGGAAGGTTATTTTTACTTTGTGTCGCTTATTTTTATTTTTCTTTTTTTTTCCTTTTTTTTATTTTATTTTATTTTATCCATCTTACGTACTCTCTTGCATGGTATGAGCCGTATGCGCTCATCGCTGAGTTTTTTGTATATGTATATTTGGAAGTGCATCTATCACACCCGCACGTATTCTTTTTATGTGCATTTGTGTGTGTGTGTGTGTGTTTGTTTGCTTTTTTGTTTTGGGGGGCGTAAGTAAATGTATGAAGGCAGAGTGAATTGTGGACGCTGTAGTTGAAGGCAGCATTGTTTTTGCATGTGGAAAGGGGGTGCCTTAGCACACACACACACACACACCCAGGTCTTGGAAAGGGTGAGGAGGGAAGTGGAAGGGGTGAGGTGGAAAAAAAAAGAAATATCTGGCAAACCCCCGCTAATTATCCCCCGACACAAACGCACACACACACACAGAGAGAGAGAGAGGGAAAGAGGAAGGGGTCAAATGTGAGGATGATATCCATGCAATTTATTTCTTGCTGTTTTTATTCAATTTTTGTTGCCTCAGAAGGGCATTTTGTGCGGGTTGCCCTTTGCAGCGGTGTTCCCTCTTTTTGAAGGCACCTTGACGGGAGGGGGGAGAGGGAGAGAGAAAGAGAAACAAATAAAAAAAAAAAGACCACAGGAAGTAATTAGAAGAACAACATCAAAAAAGGGGGCGTTCATGAGTGACTCGGAGTCCATCGTATTCCGTGAGCAAACGGCAAACAACTCCCTGCAGAGTGAAAATATGCAGGACGCTTTAATCCAATCCTCACAAATGCCGTCGGCGTCTCCGGCGCTGGACAAACCGCCGCTTCACCACACCAACCAACGGGGCTCCCGTACGAGCACTCAGCCGCGTCCAGAGGCAAAACACGCGAAGAAGTCTTTTGCCGCTGGCGAACGGTCGCACGACGATGCGGTCTCCGAACACAGCCAGAGCATCCACTTCTCCTTTGATGGCGCTGAGCATAACGCCTCCATCGCGAGTAGGGCCTCTGTGAGGCGGGCGAACGGTCTCCAGCCGCCCCCCAAACGTGGCGGAGGTCATCTTGAATTGCGATCGACTCATCTACGCCGCTCGGGAAGTCAGAGGACGGATTCAGAGGATGAATCCATTCAGTTTGCTTTGGAGACCTCCAATAGCCACGCACGGCCAAAGACCACGGTGCATTCCGAGGCGTCGCCAAACGACAGCATCTTCTTCCACGTCGTGGATGACACGCGGACGGATGGCGTCAATTCCAGGGCCAGCGGCAATCCGCAGCATGACGCCAGCACGGATGGCATTGAATTTACCGTTTTGAATGAGACGGAAGGAGCGGCGGAGGGTTCTTTGGGGAAATCGGTGCAGACACGCACCGACGCGGAAAAAGGGCGAGGAGTCGAATTGCCAGTTGAGAAGAAGCGCTTGAAGAAGACAGTTTTATCAAACAGGCTTAGGCGCCCACACACAGTTTTATTGCGTAGCGGGAGGGTCTCAAACCCACCGGCCACGAAGCGCTCTAATGGGAAAAATTTGACGGAAAACATTCCTCCAGCCACATTGTCGCCTGCAGAAACTGGGCCTTTGGATACCCCTGCGATACCGACACCAAAACCACTGGATGCCACTGAGGCGCAGCTTGAATCAAATCGTATGCCTCCAACTGCTGTCCCTATGCCTTCCAAAGATGACCAATGCACATCAAAGGCTACACCGAAGGAATTGGGCAATATTTTATTTCCAACGCGACGTTCGCGAAGCACCGGCTTCACGGATCCGATTGGTATAAAAAATGCGTCAACTGCTGCGGCCAAAAAGTCGACGGAGGGTTCGCCGCCTCGCATTTCCATTGAAGTACCGTCGCCGTACCCCCGACCGCAATCGGAGGTCATGCAGCCTTCTAATTCAGATACGCTGGACGAGTGGATTTTTCAGGCTAAACTCTGCACGGAACATTGGCGTCTCTTCAATGACTTTCAGAGGGAAGAGATTTTGCGTTTGATTGAGCGCATTGCGAAGGCACGCCAACCGGACTCATTTCTTCAGGTCATTGACACGGGCGTAAAGGAGAGAAAATCGACACAAGCTGCACCGGGTGGATTTGCCAAGCTTTACAAGCAAAGAGTTTTCGCCACACAGAACGCTGCTTTTTGCCGAGGCACATCTAACACCGTGCCCTCGACAATAAAATTGGCTTCTAAAGTCCAACCGCGGGCACGTTCAGCGACGTCACACGGCATTTCGACGTGCAGATCACCGTTCTCTGGACGGACGCAGGACCATCGTCCTCCCGTTGCCAGGCCACCAAAGGCGGCTGAGGCAGGACAGCTTCCCGCAGCCCCACAGAGGCCCCCACAGAGGCCCCCGCACGCACCGTCGCGGAGGTCGGCAGGCGGCAGATGCCTTTCTCTTTTTCAAGACGCGTTTTCGTCTGATGGCGTTGCGAAACTCGCCCAGACGCTTGGTGTGGTGTGGCCTCCTTGGTCACCGGATGCACTTTTTTTTGTCTCCGGCGCCCGCCTGACTCCGCAGCAGAGGGATGAGTTCTACAAGGCGGCTGAGCTTCAGAAGGCAGCCTTTGCGAAGCTCCACGCGGAGTTACAACACTCTTCTGCGGCACAAAAGAGGGAGACAAAAGGTGCCCGCCAGAAAAAAGTGACGCTGTCGCGTACTTCCATCCTCCGCAAGGCCTTTGATTTGATGGATGTGGACACACGCGGCATCATTCACACCGCAGATCTTCCGGCGTTGCAGCATTTACTTGAGGCGGAGCGGCAGGAACTTGAGACAAGGGCGGCTGATGGAGTTGCGGCTTCTAGTTTTCTTACAAGGGCGAGGGGTGAGCAGCGCATTCTTAAAGGTACGATTGATTCCAAACGACCTGCTACGAAACCCGAAGATGATGCCACATCTATCGCTAAGAAGGTTATGCTGCACGGTTTTGTTTTAGAGATTATTTTTCCGCTTATTCGTGCCTCTAATTTAGTTGTGGTTGACTTTGCCTCCCTTGGCCTTTTGGTGTTTGGATCCTTGTGCCTTTCTCAAAAGGGCGCGAGCGCGAGTTTTGTGAAATGGTTCCAGGCCGCATTACACTACTTTGAGGCTCTTGCATAGACCGGTTCCTTTTTCTTGTGGATTTTTTTTTCCTGCATGAGCCTTTTTTTTCTGTCATTGTGTGGATTCCATTTGGACGGAGTTTGCCCCTCCCCTTTTTTTCTTCTTCCTCTTTCTGTGTATTTGCGTCTGCATGTTGCGGTGTGACGTTATCTGTACTACTTCCTCTCTCTCTTTTTTTTTTCTTTTTGTGTTGGATGCATGGGAATGGACATGATAGATACTTGTTTCTTGCCGCCCCTTATTTATGGCCACTTGCTTGTATTTCTTTTAATAGTTTTTTTTTTTTTTCTCGTATTGTTTTTCTTTTCTTCTGTGCGCCGGACTCTTCATAAACACGTTTTGGCCTGGTCTGCAAGGATGAGTAACGGCGACGTGTAATCACAGACGGAGGAAGCAGGGAGCCCCAAATTTAAGCGTAGAGTTACGTGTTTATAGAGACGGGTATAGAAAAAAACAAAAAACAAAAAACAAAAACAAAATAAAAGCGACTGGACAATTTGGGGGTGCGTGGGCGAGTTGACATGTCGATGCGCACACCATATTCTTCCGCAACAAGTCTGGCGGATAGGGCCATCTCGCCGTCGCAGTGTTTATACCCTCGCACGACTGCCAGGCAAATCCACCCACTGGTGTTTTCTCCAATGACACCGGTGGACCCAAAAACGATGTCACCACATTACCCCGAGTCGCCTCAATCCCTGCAGAGCGGAAGTCCCGAGGCAGAGGGGCTTGGCAGGACGGAGCCGCAGTCATTGCTGCCGACGTTTTTGGCTGCGGATTTTGATGTCGTCGATGTTTCCGCACGATTGGAGAATGAGTTTTTTAGTGCTGCTCACTCCGCCGAGTTGAATGGTAGCAGAAGCCGTCATCTGCAGGAGACGATAGATCGCCATGAGAACTGCTCGTCGGCAGAAAAATTACTTCATCGCAACGGTAGCTGCTGCCGTATGGATGTCACTGAGGAGATGACGCAGGTGTTCCAGGAACCGATGACGCCGCTGCGCGAGGCATCTTCACTTATTGAGGAGAACCGCGAGGGCCAAGATGACGCCGAAGACGATCGTGCTTCCAATTCCCCTTCCTCCGTGCATACTCCGCCTGACAACATCATTCGTTCTTCGTTGATGCTGACGCCGCCGTGGACGCCCGTTCTTGCAACTCCACGGAAATCTGCCAAACGACCCTCACCGCAAACCTTCACGCCGTCAGCGCACCGGCGCGGTGTGTCGTCACATAATTTAAGTATGGAATCGCGGGAAGTCTGTGGTGTGCTGCCGCACATAACTCATGCAGATTACCTCCCACCCAATAGAAACCCGTGTTCACCGTATCTGGAGTATGCGGATGAGAGACAGCTCTTGGTGCAGCTTCGCATGGAGGAAGAGGAGGACGAAGAGGAGATGGATGGTGGTTTGATTTCCACAACAGATGGGATGTTGCAACGTGCGGATGCATGTGCCATTGTGCTTGAACAAACTGTTCCTATCGCCAGTGCGGTGCGAACAGAAAAGTGTCGATCTCCGTTGTTCCCTACAGCAGGAAAAGGTGGTGGGGGCACGAATACGTTTCTCAATGAGGTGCGCGAAGAAGATGATATCACAGGCCTTTCTCCTGTTTTAGTGGAAATGGACTTGGCTATGCGAAAAAATGCGTCTACGGCAGTGGAGACAGGCGACGTTAGTTCAGGGAATCATTTTTTGGACTTTTTTGGATTTTCTGACGACGGGACGAGTTTAGGGACTGTGCAGAATGAGACGCCGCATCGTTTGTCTCGTGAAGCCGAGGATGTGGCATGTGATGCGTCCACGCGCGACCTTACAGATGGCCAGACATCTTTTGAAACGCTTCCAAATAAACTTCTGTGTACACGTGTTTTTTATGACCTGCGCGGCCAGGTGGGGGAGCAGACATCTCCTCCTTCAAACTCCCCATGTATATTGCACAATGCGGCACAATGGGACCGTACTGTTGGTATGCATGTCTCAAGGAATACGATCCATGAAACTGGTCTTTCTTTTCAACCGTCACTCTTGTCCTCCTCTTTATCGATCCGCGGAGATTCTCAGGCCGTCTTTTCTGCAGACAATTCAGGAGACCTTCCGAGTCAATTGCAATTGCGCAATTGTTTGTCCGTGCATTTCCCAGTTAAATTTGATTACCCCACTGCGGGATACCCGGGGAGTGATGCGGAGGACGAGATACCGAGAGGACATGTCAATTCCAAAGAAGAGGAGAAGGAAGAAGAAGAGGAAGAGGAATTTGAACCCGGTGATCGGTTTTGTAATCATCATCGCTATCAATTTTTGCATTGGCTACATTGGCGAAAAGCATATGATTTTGTTCCAAACCATTTGGATTGCAACGGGGTTGTCTGGCTTGTGACACACCGCGTGGATGGCCTTCCGTATGCCGTCAAGGAAATACCGGGCACGCAGCAAAACACTCTGCAGACGGAGCTGGAGTGCCTCACACTCGGAAACGCCTCCGTGAACGCGTTGCAACAGCAGGCGGCTGACTACATCACACGGTACTTTTCTGTTTCACCGTATAGTGTTGTGTCATGCGATTCACATGAAAGTATGGCGTTCCTGCTGCAGACAGAGTACTTTCCCATGGGAAATGTGATGGAGTGGGCGTTGGACCCACACGGACTTCGAGGCAAAGAGTTTCGCGTTCCACCGGAAGATTTTTGGTCGTGTGTGCTTCAACACGGCCTTTTGGCGATGGAGAGTCTTCACGCAGCTCATATTATTCACGGCAACCCTCTTCCATTTAATCTGTTTATTTACAGCCCAAGGCATTACAAACTCGGTAACTTTGGTTCTGCAGTGAAGTTCCCGAGTACATACCCTGTGGGCTCTCCAAATGTGTTTTTGCCGTCAAACATGGCGGATGGCAGCCCATGGACACCTTATGAGATGGATATCTTTCTCTTTGCCCATAGTATGCTGCAGCTGTGGAATCACTGTATTGACAAGCGGAAGCTGGTCTCGAATGCGGTCCAAACCTTTGATCATGATAGCGAGAGCACACTTCGTGAGATATTCATGAAAGATGCCATGTGTATATCTTTCAGTGGGTTTCAAGAGGACCGGGTGAAGGGTTATCATGAAATCTCCGATCATCTTTGGAATGTGTTGCAGGCCGCCCTCCGTCGGACCCCGATAAGTACTCTCCTGAGAATGTTGGAAGCCCCCTCACGGCTCCAGTGGACACTTTTCTCGCTCTTTGATACGGAAGAATTTTATCTGCTGCGGCGGAAGCGTCGGTTGAAGCGGATGCTCGAAGAACGTTTACAGAGGAAGGCTCAGGAGGAAGTGAAACGCCAATCTTTCCCTTCGACGAGTGTGAACTACGTGGACGATCCGGTGATTCTTCTTCCTCCTGCGGAGTGGAGTTGCCGAGGACACACCGCCCATTGTTGCTCAGATGTTCAAATCCGAGGGAGCATGTCAACGGCGGCACCACCACTTCCTTTTCAATTGCCACTGGCCTCCAACACATTTGCCTCTTTAGAAAATGGCGTTGCTTTATCCCCAGGACGAGGGAAAAATGAGTCTTGTAATCATAGAGTTGCTGCATGTAACCGTCATGGTCGCAGACTATTCAATAGACCGAAAAGACTAAAGGAAGAAACGCCGTTGAGTTCGTGTGACACCTCTGCGGCATCATATTCACCTCATCTCTTTTATGCAACGAAGAAGTTTAGTCTTTTAAAAGACAAAAACTGCAGTTTTAATTATTTGCCTGAAGAAGATATGGAAAATACATCGATGTTAAGGTATGCACACGGTGAACGGCCACCTTATATACGGAGCCGTGTTGACGCCAACATCTCTTTTGCCAATCGAGACCGATTGGATGCAAATCTTTTATGGACAATTCGTCAAATTATGGCTGTTATGAATTGGGAAGACGCTTTGAAAGGGATTTCTTTGCATTTTGACGAGAGTGTCCCTGCACGGGGCTTATTTTCACTTTCACGCTACGCTGTGAGACCCCTGACATCATGGGAATAGAGAAAAGTAGGCTTTTGTGATGGACAACAAGGGCGTAACAAAAGAATAAAGCAGAGGCGAATACACATGAAAGAAGCATGAGGCCCATTATTATTAAATTTTTTTTTTTCGTCCAAGGCGAAATGGGGCTTATTGCGTGCGTGCGTGTGTGTGTGTGTGTGTGTGTGCTGCGATTCATCATAGAGATTTTGTTTTTATTTTGGTTTGTCTTTGGATCCCCTCTCTTTTTTTTTTTTTTTATTTTGTGTGTGTGCGCTGTAAACATTTTGGGATGTATGTTTTATTTTACTTTATTATTGTTATTATTATTTTGTTGTTGTCGTTTTTATTCCAACCTCGGCGTCACCGTCGGTGTGGGATCCGCATTGCTGTATTGAGGAGGGTGTGGGTACCTTTGATGCCACGGAAGGCATGGCAGTTGGTGTCCCTTTGTGTTTTGCGTCGGCTGTCGTCTTTTTTTTTGTTTTTGACAGAAATTGTGGCGTGGGGCGATCAAAGACCCCCTTTTTTGTGTCTTTGTGCTCTTTTCTTTTTTTTTTTTTTCCTTGCCGGTGGTGGGGCGGTGAATGGCAGGCGCATCCTCGCCACATTTACAAACACGCACGGAGAGAAGGAAAGGAATCCGTCCAACGGCGCATGTATCGATGCCGCTCTGCACACAAACTGTTGGAGCTTGACGCGGCGTACCACCTTTTTGCGTGGCCCTGTCGCACCGTCGTGGATCTTGCGGCTGCACCAGGGGGGTTTGCGCAGGTGGCATTGCAGCGAATGGCGTGTACATCTCTCCCCACTTCCACGGAGGACGTACGGCCGGTGGTGATTGCCTTTGATCAGCGCCCCATTGAACCCATGGAGGGGCTGTTCTCTGTTAAATGCGATGTGAACGATCACCCACGTGTCATGGCGTACACGGCCCGGCTGTTGCGTACATTGCAGGGTGAGAATGAAACCCAAAGGAAAGACGTGCATGTCGTCCTCCACGATGGGGTGTCTGTTGTGAAGGGACAGTCTTTGTTTTCCGTGACATATGGTCAAAACCAAATGGCATTGGGGGCTTTGCGACTTGCCGGGTCTTTTTTTGCCTTGCATACCCATCACACGTCCGCACGACGTCTTGCATGCGGAGATGTAAAGCACCACGATGACAATAACCGATCGACAAGGAAGTTTATTACAAAGGCCATGCATTCCTCCCACTTTAACACGCTACTGGAGGCGTGCCAACTCTACTTTTATGATGTGCACGTTCATAAACCCTCCGAGTGTAAGCCGGAGAGTTTGGAGACGTACATTGTGGCACGAGGTTTCTCTGCACGAAGGTGGCTGCTGGAGGAAAAACGGGCGAAGGACCTGCACCCACGCTTGAGCCTTCCGCCTCGCCGAGAGGATGTGGTTTCTGGGCGGCAAATGATGTGGCGATGTTGGGGCTGTCGTGAGGTTCGCTTAGGGACATCACCGTGTCCATTGTGTTCTGCTGGGCTTTAAACCGCCCGCATCTCATGCGGGGTTATTATTTATTTATTTTTTAATGTCTTTTTTATTTTTATTATTTTAAGTGTTTGTGTTGAACGAAGTGTTGCCATAATTTTTTGTGAAAACAAGGGAGAGGTGTTTTTATTTTTTATTTTTTATTATTTTTTATTTTTTTATTTATTCCTTCTGTGCCATGTTTGACTGTCGGGTGCCAGTGATATTTGTGTAAGGGCGGAGGAGCAAAGGCAATTAAATAACACATAAAAAAAAAAAAAGAAAAAGAAAAAAGAAAAGCTTAAGGAACAGGAAACAGAAGGGATAAAAGGAACATTACATTACATTATATTTATATTTACAATATAAATACATACGCATACAAAGAAATATATTTATTTTTAAAAGGGGGGAAATGCGGCACTTTGCGTTGGCCACACGCAGAGTTACTGCCGTGACATCTCCGGTGCGTCTCTGTTTTCGAGCGACATCAGCTCCCGCATCAAATCCGGTTGCAGCTCCAGAGACCACTACAGTGAGGGAACCGCAGCCACGACAGAAGGAAAACGTCTTGAAAGTCCCCTCGATGACCCTAGCGCAGCTGCTTACATCGGTGGTGGGGGAAATGCAGAAGAAATCGTTAACTCCAGCCGTACATGAAAACGTGACACAGAACAAAACGGAGGGTTCCTTTGAGGAGGCTGCCAAAGATGCGTCCAAGGAGGCGAAAGCGGGTTTGTTGCCATACAAACTATCTCCTGAGAAGTTTATTATGGCAATAAGCACTTACATTCGTCGTGAAGAGGAAATGGCATTAATGAGCCGTTCTAATGTGGTTGCTATGCGGCGGCAATACTTGATGTTGCGTGCCAAGCAACCCCGCCTCTCTTCCAGTCAGCGGGATATTCTTCTTCACGAGGCGTCATGTATTGTGGAGAAGAGGGAAGTGCCACTTAACGTGGCAGCACGCCTGCTAAGACCACGCTGGCCAAATTATTTTATGGACGTCGTGGGAGTTCGTCATCACGCTTTTTTGGTACAAAGTCTGCGTGGATGGACTGTGGAATTGATACGGGATGGCAAGTTAACAGCAAAGGAGGCCCGAAGATTCTTAATGCAATGCCCACGTCTGTTTTTTGGCCAAGTCTCGCTCATGGGATCTGTCGTGGAATGTGCACTGTCGGATGTTAATACTATAGACGATCCGGAGCTTTTGATAAAACTTATGTGGTCTGTGAACAATGCCAAAACACACGCTCCGGACCATTTCTGGAGGCGTATTGTTGACAAACTGGCAATGTTAAATCGCTCTATGCGGGATCAAGTCGGGGATGCTATTCGCATTGGGAAGGGAAAAGATGAGAAGAAGAGTGAGGAGGAAGTAACCGAGGCCAATTCCGTGATGGTTGGCCATGTCTTTTCTGGGCTGACAACCAGACAACTGTTCCGTATACTTCGTGTGCTGCGGAAGGAGCGATGGTGTGGTGATGTTTCTGTAATTTTTGATTTTATGGACAAGGCGCTTAAAAATATCGTATTTGAGGTGGAGGCAACACAAGTCGCTGATACGAAGTCTTCTGAAGGCCCGCCCTTACGACGAACGGTGGTGCAGCGTGTAAAGAAGGCTTCAGACTTGTCGCCGGTGGAGCTGCTTTCTTTGCTGAGTATTGCAGGTGAACTTGGGGCGGACTTTCACGTGTCATTGGCGCGTCTGTCGGAATATCTGCTTTCCCCTATGACACGGTACTTGGACCGGGATTATCTCCTGCTCCTCACCACCTGTGTCAGACGGACCCGCTGCGACTCAGCACACCTTGTGCAGACAATTGTGGACACGATTGTGCGGCGCGGTGTCACGTATTCGTTCTCCCTTGCCTTAACAAAAGCCGTGTTGCGAACCATCCTACAGAAACCCGCGTTGCTCTCACACCTGACACTTGCCCCTTTTATGGATCACATATTTTATCTCTGTGATACACACAAGCGGCATTTACGTGCGTCGCAGATTCTTGCGTGGGTGGAGTTATTGTATGCCCTTTCGAGATTGTATGCACCCTCGTCATCCGTTGGTGTGCGGGTTCGGGCTGCTGTAGAGTCCTTCGCCGATCCTCTAATTGCAATGTTGGCGATCGAGGTTGTACCCACCTCCATCGTTTCCCGCATGCTGGAGTACACGGTCATACTTGGCATGCGGAAGCAGCCACAGTACCCTCTCACCGCGAAGCTGTGGGAGGACCGCAACACACTCGTGAATGGGCGTCGCGCGCACGCGGATTCTTTGGGAGGCGGTGATGAAAATGACACGGCGTCGCCGGATCACGGCCCGGCGGAGGATGTGACGTCGGAGACAATGGAAATGGAAGAAGCTCCTAAGGGCGAGGTTACCAAATCTGTTAAACGTGTGTATGATGAGCTTATCTCCGTCTATGAAAGACAGACAGTTATGCAAATGCCTCTTTTGAAAGGGGAGAAAGAGCGGGTTTGCGAAACTTTCCAGCGAGTTGGGCTCTACAGCATTTTTATGGGAGCAGACATTATGAAGCAACTGCATTTGAGAGATGCCGCATCCACAAGCAGCGCGTCGACGTTGCGTCACAGGGCACTATATTCACGGCCCCTATCCACGTGGATTGAGCGAAACGTTGCTTCCATTGTTGATACACGCATTCGGAATGCAAAGATATCACCAGAATCTACAGACAACGATGTGCTTCGCCTGTTCGGCCACCGTCAGTGTGACGCCGCGAAGGTGCGTCGCTTTCAGGTGCTTCTGATGAGCTCTCCGTTACTGCTGGCTCGTGAACGCCGTAGTTTGTGGGAGTATACATCCGAGCTGGCGCGTCGATTTGGTGGGGTTCAGGAGAAGTCCCTGGCAGAAGAAATGCTTCGCAAGGCCCTTCACTAGAGTGGAAATTGAGAGAAGAAATTCAAATTAAATTTTAATATTTTGTGATCACATGATTGTTCTTTTTTTTCCTTTTTTCTTCATTCTTCTTCTTCTTCTTTCTTTTTTTTCTTTTTTTGGGTGGTACCGTACCGATGATATAGCGAGTTTGTGAGCTGTTTGGTTGGCTGCATAATTTTATTTTAAATTTGTGTGTGTTTTGCCTGCCCATGCGGCGTTTTTGTCTTTTTTATCCCTTTTTTTTTACTTTTTCCCCTCCTTCCTGTTTTTGTTATTTGCATGTTTTCTGCGAGAACGGGGTGGAGGAAATAATCAAACAGAATTGACGTTCTCATTAGAGGGGGAGGTGACAAAAAGAAAAACAAACAAACAAAAACAAAACAAAAATAATCATCAAAGGAGGAAAACGGGGAGAAGTTGTGTGGGTGGGGGGCAGCACGGCCGTCGATGTATCGTTTCTGCTGCCGGGGTGCGGTTTGGCGTCCAATAAACAGAAGTCATGTCTTGAGTGGCTTGGCATGGTGTGCCTCACAAGGCGTCCCACCGGCCGACGACGGCAAACCCCGAGAAGCCGCACGTCATGTTGCGCCGTCCGACGAAGACGTGGCTGAGATGTTCACGGCCGATCGTGAGGTGCCCACATCCCGCACTGGGAGTAAATTATCGGATGCCGCTATGGAGTTCACGCGGGTTGACTCCGTTGATGACACTGGCGGGAGAAAACACGCGGAGCATTTTCGCGATGCCACGGACTTTGATGGGGAGGAGGATGACGATGATGATGAAGACATCGACGATGTGAGGAGACGGCCATCACACGTCCACGGACACGGCGGAAGAAGGACGGCGGAGGATCTTTTGGCAGATGAGAATGAGTTGCCGCATGAGTCGGACGAAACGGCATCCTCGCCTCCTATCGACATCCTTTTAGGGGCGGAGGACGAGGTTGCAGAACCCTCTGTGCTGCATCCGATTGCTGAACGACAGGCCGTTGCCCGAACAATGAACGCTGTGGAGCTGGTGGAGATGCTTGTGCTCTACCTCCGAGCAACGGAAAATCCTCGCCTTGTGTCCGCCGAGGAGGAACACGTCTTGTTTCCCGTTGTCATGGAGCGGCTGAATGAACTTCACTTGGGGCAGATGCTTGATATCGTGGAGTGTCACTGGGCTCGCTCCACCCTTGTACGGTACGGCATTACATTTAAAGACATGGTGCGTGATCGTATTGCCATGCTCGCATCTGTCGCCGGGAAGGATGCCGCGCAAAAACCAAAGCGGGCATCACGCGTAGATAAGGGCTTTGGTGAGGATGATGATGTAACCAACGACGTGGATGACGATGTTGATGACGATGCGGATGCTGGAGAGGTGTACGCACACGAGGTCAAGGCACCCACATTGGACCCTATCCTCCTTCAGGCGCGTGACGAAATGAATGCAGAGGGTGTACTTCGCTGCATCATCGTTATGGGTATGAGTGCAGGCCGGCGAAAGAGAGATTTGCAGTTTTTTCAGGCTATGGGTATGTTCCTTGTGCATCATGTCAACCACTACAAGGACCCACATGACTTGGTACGTGTGCTGACAGCTTTTGCACGCGCTAAAATTGTTCCACCGAAGGGTTTTCTTGCGCTTCTTGGACGACGGTTTGCCGTGCTGAATAAAAGAAAGCCGTTGGGTGCCCTTCCCAGCTACCGTGCCTTTGTAAACCTGTATAAGATGGGGCACGATCAGATGAATAATTTTAGGTTTCTGGCAAATTGCATTTATGAATCCATGGACGCAAATGTAAAGTCCGAGAAGAAGCGCCAGCGGTTGCTGGAGCTACAGAAGAAAAGTGGGACCACCGATGCCGCCTCTGCCGACGCAACAAAGACAACCGCACAGTCCGAAAGTGCTGAAAGCAACGAAGATGGCTCTACGATGGAAAGGATGATGATGACAGGTGATCTTGACCCACAACTGCTGCAGTTTATAAAGGCGAGGGAACGATTTAAACGTTTGACAGAGCTGAAGCCGTCTATGTTTACAAAACTTCTTCTTGTGCTCGCTCGATTTGGCGCTCCACACCAGCAGTACTTACGCCCTACTATCGTGCCGCTTATTCTTCCCACATTGCGTTGCTTTCCACCACCAAGCTTCTCCCGTCTTTTGCGTGCGTTGTACCTTTTTAGGACAACGGACCTTGAACTCATTGAGCCCATTATTGACTATCTGGCAGACGATCTCGGTGTTCAGTCGGTTATTCCTGAGGATGTGTTGGAAATGATTCGTATTGTTTCACCCGCGGAGGCGCCGGTTCCACGTAACCTCTCCAAAATACTTCTGCTTTGTGAATCTGTATACGCGGGCGTGGATGCGGCACCGGTGCGGCTTATTCTTCCCACCGATATGTGCTCGGTAGCCGCCGCTCTTTTGAGAATACAGATGAAGGAGGATGTCCCGCTAGACGCACTGGACCCTCTCACTCGTCTGATGGAAGTCTTTGCAGATCGCCTTTATTCTTTGTTGCAGCTGCATGTTGTCTCCCTCACGCACGTTGATATTTTTGCGGATTTATGCCGACAGCAGCAACACCCAGATGTTTCTGGAAAAATTGCCAGGCTTATTCAAGAGCGACGCCGTCTAAGTTCTACGGAAGGGGATGATGACTACTACAGTCGGCTGGACATCGACGTGCGTGAGACCTTTCACAAGATCATGGTGGTGAATGATTTCAAGACGTATGGGCAATACCGACCGACCCCTGGGGTGCTTCAGGTGGACTTTAAACAGGCACTGACGGAAGTGAGTGCATTTGACGTGCTGGAGGCTACACATCTTTTTGCTCAGGCCTTCCCCAAAACACTGCGGCCGACGGTCGTGAGGCACCTTAGTCGCAGTATCATTGCAAAGCTTGGCGACAGCGGCGAGGAGGTCATCACGGAGGATAACACGATGGTTCTGCGTCCTCCCCGGGAGCTGCTGCTTACGAAGGAGGATCTCGTAAAGTTTGTGGAGTTGGTGCAGGCAACCCCTTTGAAGCGGGTGAAGGAGTCGCCTGTGGTGTGGCGCTTCATTGAGGAAAAGGCACGGCGGCTGAGGATGAGTGAATTGCTGAAGACCGTCGAGCAGCAGGCTGTCGTTGCGACGGCGTAGGCGGTGGAGATGTGCCGTAATCGCGATTGTCTTTCCCACCCCGCACAATCGCCTTTACACGCACAAACGAGGCGGCACCCACGAGAACACACACAAAAGCGAAAAGAAGTGGGGAAAAAAAAAAAGAACTGATAATGATTTATCAACGGCAATAAACACAAATATATTTATTTATAGAAACATTAAAAAGGGGATGCGGAGAGTCTTCAGACCTCCGTATGTGCGTCTTTTATTTCATACTGCAGTTGCCGGTGGAGCGGTGCCCGTGACAACGTCTTAACGCAGGTATCTTCGAAGGAAAGGATGGGAGAGTGTAGTGAAAAAAAAGGAAAAAATAAAACAAAATAAAAC